TTACCAAGCTGATCGTCTGAATGCCCTTTTGTACGCACGTTATATTCATTTTTTTTTTTTTTTTTTTTTGTACCGAGGATCAAACCCTCGACTCCTGCTTGCCAGGCAGAGGCTTCTGCCACAGAGCTAAATCCCTTGCCCTATATTCAATTTTTTTTAAATGTCAAAAATACAAAAACCATATGAACTATTGAGTGTTACATATATGAAGACAGTTCTGAACTCAACACACATACACAAACACATGTACGCAACTATTCTTGAGAAGTGTCTTCTTCCACACCAGCCTACTATGCTGACCGAGTACCAGTGTGTGAGAGACCACGCCTGAGAACATCCAGACATAAAAGCAGCAGCAAGGGCCCAGAAGTGGCCAGGGTTCCGTGTCCAGAAAAAAGGCCCCAGCACACTGTGACAATCATCAGCGCATGGACAGGCGCTGCCTGTGCTCCGCAGTGGCGTCCAGCCAGCTGGGTTTGCATTGGCACTGGCCAGCAGACAGGAGCCACGGGGCAAATGAATTTTTCAGGCCACCATCCTTTCACCTTAACTGCAATGACTATGAAGACCACTGAAAACCTGCAAGACCACTTCACTACACACAATGGCCACACTTCCCGTCGGCAGGAGGACAGAGTACAGCCCGGCCTGCCAGCAACGCTGGTGCTGTGGTTGACACCAGGCAAGGCTCTCCCCTCAATTTCTTCTCTTAGTTAAAAAGGAGGGGGGTGCCGCAGAGAAAATTTATTAGCTTAAAAGTGAGCTAAAAAATATGATAACCACATGAAATGAACAAATCTAGGTTGGACAACAATCCAAAAACCATTTATGGAAACTGCTCAGGCTGTCCGGACACAGCTGAAAGGCCTCTCCTGAAGGAACCCTCTTGATATTCACAGGCCGGGTGGCAAGTGGCACCACAACCCACTTCAGGCCTGACCGTAAGTTCACAGCTGCTAAGTTTGTGCTGTATGAATCTGAGTAAAAGGTGGGGAACATTCATCCTTTGAACAGCTCCAGACACACAGACACTCTCGTTAAGAAAGGACCCTCCAAGGGAGCTAACGTCCAACCCTTTACTGACATTCTGCTCTGAGACTGGGTCTCATTCTGTCCCTGGGCTGCCCAGGCCACGCCTGAACGAGTGACCCTCCTGCCTCAGCCCCTCTGAGTGATGGGGTTAAAGGCTATCCCACGCCCAGCTGGAAGCTGATTCTGTCCTCAGGTAACCCTGACTGGAAGAGTTCACTGACCAGACGGGTCTGGCTAACGCACGGTTCCTGCCTGGCAGAGGGCTGACTGAAGTAAGAGGTAACTACTCAACCCTAAGAAAAAGAAACCACCACCCACTCGTGAGGCTCAGTCCCTCACGTGCCACCCAGTCCAGGGTTCCAGTCAGGATGAAAGACCTGAGCCAGGCATGGTGGCACACACCTGCAATCCCAGCACCTGGGAGGCTGAGGCAGGAGGAGCACTTCGAGTTCAAGGTTAGCCTAAACTACAGAGCAAAACTGTGTCTAAAAAAAAACACAAAAAAAAAAAAAAAAAAAAAAACAACAAGAACTGAAGAATCTTTCAAGAATCTAAACCATCAGAGGGGAATAAGAATTAAGATATTTAAGCACACGCATCTACCCCCTAACATGAATGTAAACAGTACATACTACCAACACACACTGATTAAAATTTCTTAAACACAATTTAAACTACTAGTCCAACGGGCCCTCCCAACACAGTGGGGCACAGAAAGATGTGTGTTAAACTTTGAGCCTCTGTTTGTGTCCTGTGGATTCACCAAGTCGATGTCCCATAGTCAGCCTGGTGGAAGCTGCAGGCCGACACAATAAGTAAAGGCCAGCTTGCTAGAATCAACACTGGAGCACAGGCAGAACCTTGGCTTGTGACAACAGACTCTCTGCCTGCTGGTATTTGGTTTGTGTGCTTCAATTCTGACACTGCATGAGCTTATAAAAGATGCTGTCATGAGAAAACTGGGTCAAGGGTACGTGAGACACCCTGGTATTTCTCTGCAAACTTTAGTGCATAAATCTGTATGTAGCTCAGGCTGGTCTTGTACTCACAGTGATCTTCTGCCTCTCAATCTCCAGGTGATGGGATTGCAGGCATGCACCACCATATCTGGCAAAATCTATGTATTTTAAACAAAGTACAGCCAGGCATGGTGGTGCATGCCAATAATCCCAGCAATCAAGAGCCTGAGGCAGGAGGATCACTGTGAGTTAGAGGCCAGCCTGGGCTACACAGTGAGTTCAAGGTCAGCCTGGGCTACACAGTGAGTTCAAGGCCAGCCTGGACTACAGAGCAAGATCCTGCCAGAAAACAAGCAAAAATCACCTTACAGATATGTTATACTAACATCGCCCAATTTTTTTGAATACATCCTTAACATGTTCCTTAAGACCTTCGCAAAACCAAATAAAACACTGCTTCCTTTCAAGAGCCCTTCAAAATCCTAGATCAGTTCCTAACACCAACAAGGCCCCAGTAGATCTGCACATCTCGGGTTGCTCCACAGTTCCAGCCCCAGCCCAGGGAGAGCATGGACCGTAGGCAGGTGGAGCAGGCCAGCTCAGGAAAGGCCCACTGGGCTGCCACCTGCTGCTGCTCTCACCTGCTGTGCCTGGCAGGAACGGCAGCCTACTCACCACCTAAGAGACAGGATCGGCCTCTTCCCAGCTAAATGTCCATACCTCTCACAGAGAGGAAACTTGCTTCTCCCAGAGAGTCTGTAACAACAGCCCCCAACCCACCATCAAGTGAGTCCCAGAGCCTCTTGGCGGGCATCCCCAGCCGGGGCTCCAGCCAGGCCAAGCTCAGGGGCTTTGGAGGAAGAACGAGAAAGCAGGGTGGGGAGGGTAGCGAAGGCATGCTTCCAGGCTGCTGCTGGTGGGGTCCCTAGCCACCAGCAATAGGAGTCTGGATCCTCCCTGAGCCAGCAGGGCCAGCAGGGGTCACCTGGAGAGGCAAGTACTACAGGGCTGGTGGGTTTTTTCTTTCTGCAAAGACTCCCCTTCTGGTTTTCATTTTACCTGAACACATGGGGTTTGCATTAATTATTTTTAAAGGAGAAAACACTACATCTCACATTTGTTCAACATTTGCTTTATTTTTCAGCCAAGAAAATACCTTCTGAAGGCAACTCCACAAGAGTGGGTCACAGAACTGGACAGCCTTGGCCCAGCTGGCACACACAGGGTGCCAGGGCTGAGCCTTGAGGGCACCAATGGAAGAAAGCTGAAGTGGGGTACGAAGCTCACGTGTGCTTCACAGCTACTCTGGAAACCTGGCTGAGAGGGAGCAGCGCAGCACCAAGAGCTGGCCCCACAGCGGCAGGAGTAGGGTCTGCTCCAGAGGGAGGCCTCTGCACAAGGTGCCAGCTCCTGCATGCCCCCGAGGGCTGAAGGCCAATAGTGCAGTGCTGGGCATAGCTCCTGGCAGGAGACCCCCGGAAAACCAGATTGTTCATACTATCTCAAAGCTTCCCCAAAACAGAGCCCACAAGTCTGCCAGTAAACAAGAACTGCGCTGATCCATTCGCCAAGTGTGGCGGCTGGCGACAGCATTTCGCAACAAGGCACAGTGGGTCAGACCACAGCGTGCATGCAGGCTCCGGGGGAGCCCCACGGACAGCAGTGCACCCTGCCCTGTGCCCCAAGACACTGCCACCCCACATAACAGGCTCCTGCACGTGCTGCTAAGAAGCAGTGCTTCTCCATTTTAAATGCCTCTATCATCCTCTCTGAGAACAAAAGGAAGGAACACTGTCACCTTATAAAACATCCTGTCCTCCAATATCTTTAGTAAGGACCTGCGGTCTGAAGACAACATGTTTCCTGATTCCAGGGATGGCCATGTGCACCGCAGCTGCCCATGCTGTGGGCCCTGCCAGAGAGGGGACAGGTACAACTGTGTGGCCCTGAATGGCACTCCTGAGGGGTTGGCGTGACTCCCTCAAAGCCCCAGAGCTGGGGAGGCTGTGGTTGGAATAAGAGATCCTCCCAATTCATAAAGCTGCCGACTTTTTTCCAGGATCTGCCAAATAGCAACGCTGAGCGCTATTCATAAGTAGGCAAGCAACTATGAAAACAAAAGTAAATCTCAAACCCAAAGAAGCAGATTTAGTTCTTATCATCACATTTAGCTGGGCATGTAGGTGGACACCTATTAATCCCAGCACTTGGGAGGCTGAGGCAGGAGGACTGTTGGAGTTCGAGACCAGCCTGGGCTACAAAGTGAGCTCAAGGCCAGCCTGAACCGCACAGAGAGACCCTGTCTCAAAAAGAGAGAGAGACAGACAGACTTAAATGTGGAGTCATGTTTAGAGGAACATACATTCACACAGACTTACTTTTGTCTGGGGTAAGCACCCTCACTTTCCCATTCAAAACTGCACAGCAAATCCTCCTGTGACCACTTCAGGAACTATTTTTTGCTACTAAACCTTGCCAATAAGCCACTCAACATCTGAGCAGATGTTTCTATTTTCCAACCTCTGGGAACTGGGCTGGGTCTTTTTATTCTCCCATGTTAAAAATAAAAGAAATGGCACCAATGTGGCCCCAAAACCCTAGAGACATTTTCCCTACTCTGCAGCATGCATCACCCCACCCCACCCCGCCTCCTGTTCACGTGACCTCCAGGTCCCTTCTCAGATCACTTCTTTCCATTAGAGAAGCTGGTTCCAATTACGGTCAATCCGTTATGCCCGCCAAGGATGACATCAGTCACATGTGGGTTTCTGGTGCGCGTGTGTCGTGTGTATGTTTTAAAGCAAAAACTGCTGAGCCTTAGTCACTCAGGGACTGCCTGCAACAATGTCAGTCACCTCGTCTGCTGTGGGACCTACGAGCCTGCAACACCACCAGGGAGCACTGGTCCCCAGGCTGCCACTCTCCAAGCGGGACAAGCCCTCACAGGACTGGCACAGAGTGGGCTCTTTTTAGGTGAGGATTTCGCTAAAATGTGGGATCCAACCTTACCTCGGTGACATCCATGACTTTGATGGCCGCCAGCTGACCCGTTTTAACATGTCGACCCTGCAAACCAGAGAAAGGAGATCCATCAGCACATGTTTAGCAGGATCATTAGAACAGAACTGTTAAGGTTTCCAACAAATCCTCTCTCTTCCAGCTTCCCTCTTGTCAACCCAAAGTGGTGCCAAGTCCTCTGCTCCCCAATATGACAGGATCTTGTCATATAAATAAAACCACACTTTTAAAACATAGCAATCAGAATGAAAGGACTTTGATAAGTCATTGGCGCCGCCTTTCTTGCACAGGTTTAATTTACACAACATCTCCAAACAACTTCCGATGTGTTCTTCTACTCAGCAGACTGAGCAGTCTTTCTTTAAAAATTGCACATCTAAAACCCAAACCCTCTATTTTTATGTCAAAATATGGGTAACTGTGACTAGGCCCTGCTGGGACTCCCAACACTTGTGCCTTGGATTCCCAAGTGTTCTGCTTGGATTCCCAAGATGTTCAAGCATCTCCTTTGAAACTGTCCAGCAACCCTGAGGCACAGAGAGCAGGGAGCCGTGACCAGACGAAAGGGGCACCATAACTTAAAAGGCTAAGGGCAGCCAGTGCTGCTTTCCCACAGCTGCCGTGGAAGCGCTGCCCTGGAACCTCAAACTTTGTAACCCACTTATCTCACTGGATGTTTCAAACAAATTATTCTCACTCGCCTCTCCTCTCCCCCAGATGAGCAGTACTGGCTTAGTTACTGTGAGTGCTGGTCTTTTCTCTCCCATCTCTCCATTGTCCTTCTGGTCATTTCTCAGGCCAGCAACCAAGAGCTACCCAGATATCTGAGCATGACCTAGTTAGGGGCTTGCTAGAAATGGTCCTTTTTTGCAAATGCGTAACAGAAAAAAACTTCCCTGTCTTTTCAAGAGCCTGTCTTGTCTTGTGGTCTCATGATGAAGTGTGACCACAATTTCAACCCTGAAGGGAAGTCTGTTTATTCGGAAGAGCTCGTGCAGGAACTCATGTGGCAACTTGGACAAAGAACGCCATGCAAACAACGCTGTGACATAACAGCTCTCAGATGGTAAGTCTCTGCCTGTCTGTAACGGTGCAGCACTGTCTCGGGGTGCCGTGTGCAGTCACAGACATGTGAACAGCACACAGCCAGTGGTCAAGCACAATCTGAGAGTGCAGCTGGACCTGGCTCCCCTCAGTCCTGGAGTACTCCCCTGACTGTGGCTGCCCACACAACCACGAAGCCAAATTCTGACTTCCTGGGACCCAGGAAGAGAGGAGACTATAAAATGCCATGGGAGTGTCTTAGTCATTCTCTCATTGCTGAGAAACCCAAAGTTAACGGAGGAAAGGTTTACTCAGCCCATGCCCATAATTAGCTGGCTCCAGGGTAAAATGGCACAGAGAGACATCCCAGAGGACAAACAGTTCTTGGTGGGCAGAAGGTAGCAAAGCAAGCAACCAAGGGACAAGACAGTCTCTTTGTGTCCCTTACACTCTATCCAGGCTGCCAGGATTAGGATGGTGCCAATCCAATCAGTGGACTCATCTAGCAATTACCCACCGTTGGTCCCAGAACCCTTAATCCCACTAGATCCAGCCACCTCTGCAAAGCACCCTGAACCACGAGTCTGTTGGGGGGCCAAGCAGATACAGCCATAACAAGCAGCCAAACAAAGGCACAAAGACTACCTCCCAGGCACCCATCCCATCAGCCCTCAAATGTCCTGGTATTCCCAAAGAGGCCTATTTCCCAATCATCTCAGCCACTGACAGCTGGCTCAGAGGTGGCAAAGTGTCACTGGATTGTCCTGGATGTCCCTCTTTCTGAGAAGACAGATGTGCTGTGCTGTGGGCGGGGGAGGGGGTGTTTCCTCGGTGTCTTGATATGAAGGTCCCCCACAGGTCAAGAAAATCCACAGTTCTATAAAAATCCTCTCCAGATGTTTATTTCATGGTATGTGGTATGTTTCTTTTTTCTCTTTCTTTTTTCCCAAACAATTAAACATAAAGCCTCCAGGAGAAAGCAGAAAAAGATCTGCTCTTCCCTCTATAGCTCAACTCCAAACCACAAGGGTATATTCTGAGGCCCTGGCAGTTTGACAGTGTCATAAAAGCTGAGATTTGTAACTTCACCCAGCATCTGCTTTATATAGAAGGCAAGTTTCCCTGACTAAGGGATTATAAATCAAGACCTAATACAGAATCAATTATTACTGTGACTGAGGCCAGACCACGCAAAAGCTTTACTCTTCATTAACACATGAGATATCCAAACTAGCTCCATTTTAAATTTAAATTAGCAAATCTTCTAAGAATTCTGCTTCCTCCATTCCAAGGAGAAGATTCTAGAAGAAAACTGAAAAGACAGTGGGATTCTGGCAGCAGTGGGCCCCCATGCCTACCTCTACCCAGCACATTTCTTTGGCAGAGCTTCTTACCCTTTCTAAGCTCACCAAGCCTGCTTTATGGGACCCGCTGGGGAGTACGGGATGTCCTGGCAACCATGCCTGGCCCGAGCCAGATATCTGCCTCAACCCCAGCAGAGGCCCATGCTGCTTCCATGCCCACTTCCCTCTAATTCAGGATGCATCTCCCTCGGACCTCTCTCTGGAGGAACGCATCTAACTTCTGAAAGCCTAGGCCAGTACTAGAAGAAGTGGGGATATGAATGCAATCTATTTCTCCAAATTGTTTAAAAAGCAAATCCCCTACTCTGAAACAAGTAACAGTTTATCCACTGAGATGGGCCAGTTCTGTGACAAGGATCAAAAGCAGTCAACAGAAAAACTGATGGGAAAACTGAAGCTGGGGCTAAAAGTGGCGAGCAAGGTGACATCAGAGTTTTCCAAAGGAAAGAAATGTGTGATTTACTCAGCGTGACCCAAGGGAACACTGAGACCAGGGTCCCTTCCACGAGGGGTGGCCGGATCTGCGGAGCCAGCCCTGGGGTGCGGCCTGTGGGCTCTAGCCTCTCTCTGGACTGCCTGCTGCGCGTAGTCAGAGAAACACTGCACTAGGCACGAGGGTAAAGGAAGAGGCATTACCCGGAGTCTGGGTTTGCACCTCAACTCCGTCATCTCTCTGTACCCTCCATACTGTTCCTTCTCGCCACGAGTGACGTGACCATGACCTTCATGATTTCCAGTTGGCATGCTGTGTCAGTGAAATGTCTAACCTGTGCAGAGCAGGATCTGAACTGAGCCTTAGCAGTCTTCCTTTCCTCCAACGCTTGTTCTGTCAGTAAGCATGCATCCTTATCACCCATTTATGAACTCTCCTCCTGTCCTGTTATCTGCAAACAAGGTGCCCACCCATCTAGGACTCTGAAATGTCAGACAGCAGGAATTAAAGACTCGTGGTTTTACTTCTGCAGTACCCTGTAAGCAGTAATGGATCAACAAACGTTTAATAATGAAAAGCTCCCGAAATACTACTCGTGTGTATATTCTCAATGGGTCCTGGAAAACCCCGGGAAGGCACTGAAAAAGGTCATCAACCCACTCTGCAGATGAGAAGCTCTGACTGGAGTTGATTATTAATATATTTATTATTTATGCCCAAGGTACAGTGGCAGCAGGAGCCCTTCTATGACGATTATACAATAAAATGATTCCTATTATCTCTTCTAACTCATCAAATCTCTGCTACCAAAATGTTTTTTAAAGAAATGGTTAAAATTATTTCCATCCTATGCTTTCAAGGGGAAACAAAAAGATCTAGAATTAAAATTGTTTCTCCATCAGTATCATTTCATCAAAGTCTGTCTCACAGTAACCACAATCACCCCCTCTACTGAGCAACCTTTGTGGTTTTTATTCCTGTTTAGTTTTTAAATTTCAGGAAAATGAACGTTTCTTTTTTAAGAAGAAAACTATTGTTGGCAAAGGACCAAAATAAGGAAACTGGCCTATTTTTCAACTGTCCTCTCAACCAAGTCCCAACCATGTCAAAATTGCCACCTTGCAATTGCAAATACGAAATACATTTAGAACACATTTTCCCAGAAAAATCACATGGTCTAAAATGCAGGGCTGGGGCAGCCTGTCTGCCAACCTCAGTGAAGTCTGCCCTTGCCCACAGATAAGAGCCTGGAGAGAGAGGAAAGAGCCTCCCAGGGAAGCATTTAAATCTCCAGAAGAAGAAGCAAACCAAAAAGATGGAGATATTCCTAACCCTCTGCCATCACCCACTAAACCCAAGTGCCAGGCAGCTGATTCATGGCATAGGTATCCTTACCAAGCCCCGAAGGTGTATTAAGCTCCAGCTGATGTTATAAGTGAGCTCTGTGAGAGACACTTTCTGGTCATCTTGTTTACTGTAAGGGGACATTTGGAAGAGGGGCATGTGAGAGCAACAAGTGAAACAGCCCCACAGCTGGGCGTCCATGGTAACAGCCCCAGGCCTGGACCAACTGCCCCCATCCAATGGCACTGCCACCTCACGCTTTCAGGAAGAAGTACACTTCGACCTGCACCAACTCTGTCCCAGCACTTGACCTAAGAGGGGCCTTTGTAGGTCCTGCCCATCTTCATGAAGGTCAGGGGCTCATTTGGACTGAAAGAACTGATGGACTTCCACAGAGGCAGCCCTGGTATGCTTATGGCCCCCTCTAGAGCATCCATGACTTAGTAATAACAAAGCTTTCCTTCCAGAGAGCCCAGAAGCTCTCTGCATGCTCACAGTCTAAGGCCGGCAGAGAAGGGAGGGCCATGATAGTTCCGGGACAATGAGAACAGACACTTGGTAAACAACGCACACAAGCTGTCCACACGTTACAAGGTGGAGAGACTAAGACCTAGGAAGGGCTGGATCAACCTGGACTTTAAAACAGCCATGACCGCAGTTACCCCTGCCAAGCACACCACACTACAAACAAATGTTTTCGTTAATTATACGCAAACACAAAACACAAAACGCATTTTCCACCTCTGGCCTGTACTTTCCACACTACGGCACATCCTTGGGATCTGGAGGGCACAGGGGGGCACTCCTTGCATCTGACCTTGGCTCTCTGAAACTGACAGGCTTTCAGTTGCACCCACATTTAG